GTGTCATCACGTGAGTAATGCAAAAGTCAGGTATAGAGTTTTATGTAGAAGAGGTGAATCAGTTGACGATGTTGTGAACCTTCACCGACTGAGATGGTTGGGACACGTGTTACGTATGCCTAGTCGCCGATTGCCTCGTCAGACAATGTTGGCTGAAGTAGGTGCAGGCTGGAAAAAGGCCCGAGGTAGCCAGACTAAGACATGGCACCAGTGTATGAAGTCTCTGACTGTTGGTTTGAGCCATATAGGGCGATGCAGACTAGGTGGTTGGGGTCGGCGGGACAAGAGGAACCAGTGGTTGGAGACTCTAGGTGATATGGCTGAGAACCGATGTCAGTGGTGCAGATGTATACATACATTATCCTCATCTTAACCAGGCTATACCGAATCTCACCATTTTCTCATTCTTCCTTTCTTTCTTTTAGCACTTCGTATTTCTTCTGACTACATTCTCTTATCTTCATCTTGCGCCTCACTTCCTTTTTACTTTGTGTACCGATATGAGGTGTGGCAACTCGGACCGTTATGCAGTAATGCCTGGTGCTAGGTTGATCTGGATATTTGCTGATGAAACCAGCCTGTTTAATAAGCTCTTACTTATTAAGTGTGACTGATATTACTGTGTGTAAACTATACCTTTAGTGTCGACTGATGTAGGCTAATGAACCCCTGAAAATTATTACCGATTGATCACTGCAACGTTGAAGTAGTGGTCGGGCTTGCTTATCATAATTACTTAACAAACCATGCTAGTAGAACGCTTGTTTCCTCGAGGTGCTACCATTCCAGAATGGTTTGTTTTATAGTGGTAAGACGAAAGCAGCTACTGTTGTAGTGTAAATTTATACGCAGTAATGCGGGTCTGAGGCGAAATGGTACTGCTGCTACATGGGTGGGGTGTGATGGCAGTAGTATGTTTTCTTTTGATGACCAGGAGCGCCACCCTGACGCTGTGTTCTCTACGGAAAGCGGTGGGGTGTTTTTGTGGAAATTGTTGGCCCGTAAAATAACGCACTCCGCCCGCCCTACGGGCTTCCGGTGTCCAACTTATAGGTTCTCTTCAGCTGGCGTTAGAACACCCAAACCTCAAAACATCCTGCAAAAGACCGTGTGTGACAGGCCTCATTTAGATGTCTCATTGGCTCTGCTGCCATACAAATCTTTTTGGATATCCTGAATCGGACAGCAAACATCGCTCGCCAGAACTCTGGAATCGCTAGCCATGGATATATGCTGTGTTTCGGAACAAGTGTACATCGCCCGAGTGTGATTATTAAGTTAATCTCACCTGCGCATAATAATGAATATTCAAAATTCACCTTAAGAGTATCAGGAGACCAAGAAACTAACTCTCTTGCACTCACTGATGTAGGCGCAGGATTGAGTTGTAGAGCAGAAAGTGAGCTTCTCGACTGGATACCAGTCAACAGCCAGTAGTGTGCTGTTCAACTAAAGTGATCTGTAAAATCGAGGAGGATCGTGAGACTAGGAGATGGCTATTTGTAATCCCAGCCTACGTACCCACCGACTAGTTCGGATGGTGGAAAGGATAAAGTCGATGAGAAGCTGTCAACTTTGTCACAGAAAGCAGAACGTTCAGATAGGAAAGCTGAGTGTTAGGGATGCCTATATCTCTTATATTCCATACTTACACTTTGTATTTATTCGAACTGTTTTTCTTCGTACTCTTTTTCACGCTCATGGGTGATATTTCATAAAACCCACAAGCGTTCTGTTTGTTTTCTCCCCCTTAAACATACTAATTATTCGTTGCCTTTCAAGGTTACTGTAAACCCTAAAAATAGGGTTCGTTTACACTAATAAACGTTTTCAGTCCGAGATACAATAAGCTCATCTGATTACCAGTCTTTTCATTTCTCTTTGCGAATCACTTGATTTGAACGGTCTCATCCTTCGGCTATCAATCACTAAGTATTGTCGTTCGTTCTCAAAACTCTGCATCGTAACACTGAGCTAGTCGGAAAGTCATCTGGGAGGTATCTACGGCATCCCATGCCCAAGAACCGACAAAGGCAGTCCTCTGTTGCAGTTTTCAAGTGACAATCACTTGTTTCTTGCCAGCACTAACTTTAAGCATAAGATACACCATCTGACATGGCGTCCGTTGACTTCAAACCAAAGATGAACACAGAGAGATCTCATAACTAGAAGCCATCGTTGGAGAGGATCGGTGGAGAATTGGCTCTGTTTTGAGAGTACTAGCTTGGACTCCGACCACGCGCTAGTACGATCTCGTGTATGTCCGGGCCTTACTGGCCTCAGGAAACAGGTGGTAGTGAGTCCAATATGTGCTCGATTGGTAGATGAGGACACCTAATGCACATTTAAAGAGGAGTTATCTAAGGATTTATCTGAACCTAATAGGAATGCTCATCCTGAGGAAACTTGGCGTAACATAAGGTCTGGAGTAGAAAGGTCGGTAAAGACAGTTGGTAACGTACATCTGTAGGTTAGCGAGTGACAGTCTATTTGCGCAATGTGATCGGAACTGATTGATGTGAGAAGATTGATTGCAGATTGCTGTGACCACAACGAAGAGCGAAGGCAACTCGAACATAAATGGACGAAGAGTTTTCATGACGATCACGAGGAGTAGTGGGCGAGAAAAGGGTAGCACGTGGAAACTATTTGGGCTCATTAAGATTGATTAGACGAAGAAAATGATGGTGGCTAGAATTATCACCAGAAAGGATGGTACGCTGATAACCTCCCAGGACAGGAGGCCTAGAGTGTTAAGCAGAACACTTCAAAGCACAGTTCAACTGGCCCTTCTAAAATCTTTAGCTGGCCGTCATGGACCCTGAATGTGAATGGGACATAGAAGTGTGTTCTCCAACTCTCTTTGAAGTTGAGAGAGCTGTATCAGACGTGAAACGATGCAAGCAGCAGGATTTGACAGTTTATCGCCGGAAGTTTTCAAGGTTGAAGGTAGGGAGTTGGTGCTTAAAGTGACGGTGGTACTGGGCATTGTATGGGAATCTGAGGTATTGCCGTCAGATTCGTCCACTTCATCGATCATCCCAGTCTATAAGAAGGGAGAGAAGTCTTCTTGTGACAACCATAGAGGAATTAGTTTGACTAGTGTTTTGTCGAAGATCCTAGGGTCATTAGTTTTCAGGAGCCTAAGATATAACTGCAGAACAGCAAAATGAAGAAAACCAGACAAGTTTCAGACTTTGACTAGGGTGGGTCGATCATATTTTGACTCCGACAATTTCTGGAACATAGGCATATCTACCATCCCGTGGCCGACACTTGCAACATTTATTGACGTGAAGGCGGCATTTGGCTCAATCGGTGGTGAGGTATTGTGACAGTGTCTGACTGTGTAGGGAGTAGCGAGGAAGTATATAACGCTAATCAAAGCTATGTAATCAAAGTTACGCAGCCGTGTACTGGCCTGTGGGGGAGTTGTCTTCAAAAGTGTGGATAACTAGTGGTGTCCTTCAGGGATGTTCACTATCACCGTTATAATTTAACTTCATTCTAGACGTATTAATGGACATAACGGTGGCACTGTCTGACTTCATGGAGATTGACCTACTCTCTGTAGGTCGTCTGGTTGAATTGGAGTCCTGCCAGGTGGAGACGCTGATGCGAAGCAGGATCTTGTGAATGCGTTGAGCATAAATCTGACTATGTTTGGCATCAATTTCTCTGGCACTTGTGAAATGTGGTATGATTCTCTAGGACTGGTGTACAAGGACTCCCAGTTTAATGATAGAGAGTAAAGTGGTGAAAATGTGTGGATCACTTCACTTACTTGGGGAGTTGCATCATCCCGAACATGGTGTCGGTTCATGAGGTCTCTGACTGTTGATGTGAACCATGTGAAAAGATGTAGACTGTCCGGTTGGAGCCACCGAAATAAAAGGAATCAGTGATTGTGATGACTGTTGGTGACATGGTTGAAAAGCAGTCACAGTGGCACGGATTTATTTACTCCGTGACATTAAATGTTGAACATTTGCACTATCCGTGATCATCCGATTGGTGATTCTCTGACACTTCTTTGTCTTCCTGGCTATCACTGTTTTTCTATTCACCTGTTGTTTGTGTACTGCTGTGAAGTGTGGCAACGTGAGGCGATACACCTGTGTGCACGGTTCTGCGTTGATTTTGCCAGTCTGTCAGCGAAATCTGTGAAACACAGGACAACTAATTCGTCCCACTTTGGTACTCATCAGTAGGAATGACCTTCAGGTGCATACAGGATGAAACTAAGGTCATGTATTTCTCATAGTGCACTTTCCATTCCTCAACCACTGAACTACATCTTTGTGATTAGCATCTTCCATATTCAGTCAGTTCGCGATATGGCATCATAATCATTTAATGGTCATTGTCAAATTTCTGTACTTCCAACTCGACTTGACTAAAAACGCTCAACTACCCATTGTAGCTTCTAAAAATCTTTTTATAACCGGGTGATTAGTGTACAGCAGACTATAACCGTTGTGTCCATTCATTTCAACAGCTTTCAATGTAATTCTGGCTTTGATAACCCAAAAGTTACGCATGAAATTAGTCACATCTTTCTCCCGATCCCTGAATAATAAAGCACATGTATTAATTCTTATTTGAAAAGCTGTAAACAGTCTTGATCAACGCAGTTCTGCATATTACCTACAGATGCTCAGTGTATAAAACCAGTCACAAATGCTAGAAGCAGGTTATTTTGTCCAGAGATAAATTTATTATCCACCCTTATCGAACTGATAATTGTTCCGGAATCTTAAGTTATATGTCGTCTAATTAAATATCAAAAAGTGGTTTATAGTTGGAGTACTGTTAAATAACTGCTTGACTGTAACCTCAAAATATGATAGTCACATAGGGCATATATATTCAAATTATAAGCTTGTCTTTCTTTGAGTTCTAATAGTAAATGTTGGGTCGAATAATCTGTGAAGAATTAATTTATCTGTAGTGGTTTTCCGACATAGACTAACTGTTTCTTATTATTTCTTCCTTCTTAGGTTCCAATTAAAAATCACGCCATTGTCTAGTCGACGTTTTATCGAGCGTATATCACGTACACCTCTTCATAACTTGTACCCCTTACTAATTTGTCGAGATTTTAAGACAACTCAAACAGGAAACAATAATGTTTGTGCTGCACTATACTCTTTTAGTAAAAACAACTCTAACCGTTCAGTACCAAGTGAATTGCTGTCCACATTACGTTCATCAGTCAAACACAATCCAGTCTTATTGGAATCGAACAAAAGTCGTCCAGATTTTCTAAACTTGTTGTTTACTAATGATTTAGCTTGTGATCTTGGCGTAGATTGGTGTATGTCATCAACGAATGATGATTATGAGTCTAATGTCAATTCTATCTCCCAACAACCATTATCAGTAAGGGAAACAGATGTTGACTATCAGATTGTTCGTACACGTTTATTCACACGAATACTGAATGGGTTACCTGCAACCAAACAATACCTTCGTTTAGAAGCACGTAAAGATATACCACCATTTTTACGTTGGAAGGTAAATTCAATTGGAAGTATAGTTTTCCTTCTACCGTATTGTTTTAATCAACAGTCTTAGTTTAGCGAATTATTTTTGTTCGTTCTTGTTATAGTTGAGTATCGATGAATGAAACAACTTGTTTCACTTAGTTTCCTGACCCCTTATTACTTACTACGAGGTCAATCCTCGACCCAATTTCAAACTGGTATCTTCTGAAGTCAAACTACATAGTGGATGAACTACAGCCCTCATCGCAAAACATAAAGGCTGTAGTCAGTATACTTGCGTCATTCCTAATTTGTTGCAGCTCTCTCTGCTACCCATTCAAGCTCACAGAACGCCATTCTTGATCTATAACCGCGCTCCAAACTACATTTTGCAGCTTTCAATGTTCACGCGCCGTCAAATTGAACAAGAAGCTTGGTTGACGAGAACTTTGATATCTCGGTCCATGGAAGAAAGCAGTGTTCGTGAGACACGCATGAAGGACCCAAGTGTGGTTATTCGCTTAACCTTACCTAGTCAGTATTAAGAGACTGCGAAATTTACCCTACGACTTTCTGGAGGCCTCGATAACTGGTTCTCACAGTTTTGCAGGTCTTGGTCTATACACTACATCCTAATTTAATCCAGAAAATAAGCTGCTCACCTGAATCTCAGCTGCGTATGCAAGGCTTGAATGAATAGTGGCGTGAAGACTATAAAGGGTACTGTAATCTCTGCTTACGCACCTAATGATTGTAGTTCGGATGAAGTGAAGGACGAGTCTAGACGGAAATTGTCTAACCTCCTGTTGATAGTCCAAATGACCGAATGCTGTTGTAGCAGGTCATTTGAATCCACAGATTGGCGCGCTAAGCTGAACAAAAAGGTACTGAAGTGGCACCTTTTGAATTCATGCAAAACGAACGCATACCAATGATTACCTGCTAAAATTGTGTGCTCATGGTCACCTATTTTTGGTCAACACAGAAGGTTGCTGCTTGACATGACATCCACCGACTGTCGAAACAGACCATTTCGCTATGAGTTGTCGCTGGAGAGGGTTTGTAGAAGATTGAGACCTCTTTTAGTCCACATGTTAAGACGGTGTTCATTCACTGGTTACAGCACGTGCATATCTGCGGCTCAATAACGACAGAAAAACTGCAGCTACAGGACCGTTGCGAGCTCAGCTCGACGATTTATTTACTGAAGCTGTTTCAAAAGGTAAACTGCCTGGACAGTTACTGGAACGGGATAGCATTCATCGAAAAGAAATTTAGTACTATCTCCAGTCTACTGTATAAATCGCGTTAAAGACCGTAGTTGACTGATAAAACGGTCAAGAATAAATGTGAACGCATTGCTGCAGGCTCCGAGCACAATGGAGAATGGAAGCAACTCAAGTGTAAACTGGTGACAAGTCTACGCAGTGATATTGAGCAGTGGTGGGTAATGAAGGTTAAAGAGATGGAACAGCCCCTATAATAGGTAACAGTAGATAAGAAAGTCAATGGCTAGTGCGACTATAATGGAGAAGGATGGATATGAGATCTACCTACAGAAGAGAAGCCGAGAAAGGTAAGCGAAAACTTCCAGTCGAATCCTGTAGGAAGTACAGGGATTAGGGCCTTCAGTTATTGCCGAAGTTGGAAATGCTGTAAGTGACGCGGAGAGAGGAGGGAAAGCGGACTCTGAAGGACCAGTATCATAGGTACTTAAGGTTGATGGTCGAGTATTGGTTGTCAGATTGACTGAAGTGTTAGTTAGCGTATGGGAATGCGTTACGACCCAGTTTATCTGGTGTCAACCACTGGTTGTCGACGTTTTGGATAAGGGAGAGAAATCTTAATGCGATAAGCACAGAGGAGTCATTTTGACGAGCATGGTATCTGAGATGTCAGGTTCTATGAAGATTAGAATCCTGAGTGAATTTGGTGTACAATGAACCGGAGAAAATCTTTAATATTTCGAGTTTGTTCTGCTTGTAGCGACCTTCTGTCGGATTATGAAACACAGACACACCGGTTTTGGTCACTAGGTTTTTTTCTTGACGTGAGGGTGGTATTGGACCTGGTTGATCTAGCGAGAGGTTTTATTGCAGTATTTCTCATTGGAAGGTGTTCTAATAAGTAGACCACCTTGTTTTACTCTGTGTATCGGAACACTGGTTTGTTGGATGCTGTCATCAAGTAGGTAAACTGTGTGCACTAATGTATTCGTGAAAAATATCCACTTTTTCGATTCCTAATTTGTTTCCTCAGAGACGTGGTTAAAGTATTCTCCTTTTCCTGTTTATCTGACCTCACTGCGACTATCCTTGTCACTGGAGACTCCTCAGTAGACTTTGAGTATGCAGACGGCGGTGACTTGCAACTGACTGTTTAGGGCCGATTGTAATTTGCTGCATTTTGCTGTGCTCTTCTTGGTGACTTTGGAACATGTCATTTAAGGGCAGGGGTATGAGGCTCTAGCCTACTTTACCATTGTTAGTAACGTAGAAGTTAGAAGTAGAGTTTGGTAAAAGAGGAACGTCTGTTGATGAAGATTCTGGTGGTTAGGACATGTTTCGTCCATACCTTGTCACCGTTCACCCCATTCCACAGCCATTTTATAGGCTTTGAAACGATTAGCAACGCCCAGATCCAAATGTAGCATCAACCGGTAAAGTTTTTGACTCATCGTCTGACCCATGTAGTGACATGTGAACTTCGTGTTTATGATCCGCGTGACAACTGAAATCGATAGTTGGAGACATCCATTGAATTCTCGTAAAACCTACATCAAGGATGCGGATGCATTCATATACTATACCAATCGTTTCGCCGAATTTCTTCCTAATTTTGTCACCTGGTTTTTCTCTTTCCACGACTTTCTACCACTTCGAATACGTTTGTTCTTATTTCTTTATCTTTTATCTTGGTACTTTTATACTCTAATATGGTGTGGCGAATTGTACAGCTGCTCAGGACCGTCAAGTCCCACGTCGATCTTGACTGACTGAATAAACCTTCGAAGTAAAGGTTTCACCAAATTTTAATGTTTGGTTTTTGCACTTTGAACGGTGTGAGGATCTTTCATTTTTTGGAATTCATAAATGTTTGGAACCTAAAGTATCTGCTTATGGAACTTTGTAGATTAATGCACCTGTAAATTTAACGTGTTTCTTCCGTTTTATTTCTTACAGTTGACTAGTTGACTACGTATTGCTTCCTGTATAAACACGTTATGGTTTTTTAACTAATAAAATAAAACCAATGAAATCTGAGATTTTCCCTATCAGTGGCCAGCCAAAATGGCACAAGATACAGAAAACAGTACTGTTCTTAGCGTTCTTTTGCATCAGTCGATGGTGTTAAAAGCCAACACAACACTGCTTTTATCAACATTCGGTACGACTCATGTCTGTGCTTTATATCGCATTCAAGAAGTTGTCCATAAGTGTGTACTTAATCAGAATTATAAGTAGTTTAGCTCGAATGCTGCTAATTCTACTGAATTGGTTATTTCTTAATTGAATATATCTACATGCTAGTGGGCGGTTTTGTTCTCACTGAAACTGGAACCCCAGCATACTTCACTTCAAATATCAGAGCGTTATCGACTAAACTGCTGATTTACGAGATCCATTTCTTGTGCAACAAGTATCAGTCTTTCTTTATTGAATTTCGATTTATAGGAACTTTCACTTCCTATTGAAACAAGAAGTGTTATTTTTCAGAATCATTAATGCATCATCTGTTGATCGTTTGCAGTTTACAATAGTGTAGAAGTCTCTTAATTTCGGCATTAATCTCTTAACTAATGATGGTAAATTGTCTGGAACTAGTTACTATATAGCAACTATTAATTGGTCAAATTTTGTGACTCATTCATTTCAAGTAGTTTATTCATGAGTAGAATGATTTGACAAAATCAGAAATAAGAAAAGTTCTCTCAAAATCCTTTGATGATATTGTTCAAAGTAGACCACATTTGTAAATATGCATTTCAGTCTAGGTTGAGAATAAAGTTGGAAGCTTTATTGCACACAAATTTTATTGTGAAATTTGTGACTGCCATTACGTCCAGTATGCTTGGTGTAAAAACCACATAGCTGCGGTGACTCCACAGAGAATGGTATGAGCTGAAGTTTTTTTATCAGCCAGGTTCTTCGTGTCATCCGAATGGTTTAGTGTTACTGACCTTCTGATCGATTTTGTTTTCTCCTTGTCTAACCACGCTGAATGTGACCATATGTTTGTAGGATTGCTCGTTCTACACATGAAACTGTCTTTACCAAACTAACTTAATTTAAAGATGTACATAGTCTCTTTTGAATATTTTATTTTGTTTAGAGAACAACTCTGAAAATCCACACGTTGAGTTGCAAATATTCACCACAATACTTTATTAGCGTTTGAATCTTCGATACCTTATCGTCTTTTATATATTTGTTCCAGCTACACTTGTCTGAGTTTAACACTATTATAATTCTCGTTAAGTTTCGCTTGTACGGTTGCAAAGTGTGACGTTCTACTTTATTATATCTCACTGTCTAATTTTAAATACTTCGACAACTGATCATACTTTTCTGATTATTTTTTAACAAGAAGTGGTGTTTGCTCTTTCTTGCTATGGTTAACATTTTGGAACCTAAATTTTTGCGTTCTTGTTTTTCATAAGAGAAATTGTATGTAACCTTTTCATTTTTCATGAACCAAAGCAAACTTCATATTGATCTGAATAGTTGATGTTAAACTTTCAAATTGGTGATATCAATGTGTCGAGCGAAATAACTTGATTCAGTATTTTATGTCTGTCATCTGTTGTTTACCTACAGTCTTCAACATGTAAATATCAAGTCCCACAGGATTTAAACATACACTAATGCAGTGAAATGAAGTCAGTTAACGAGAGTTAGCGGTTTGTCGCTGCACACTTTGGGAGGGATTAGGGACAGGATAGCAACACTGTGGGTCAGTAGAGTCTGCAGATCGTTCCTGTTGGAAATCATGTGTTTTGAGATTCATTGGTACTTACTTGCTTACTTCATGACATCTTTATCAGATAAGTTCAATGTGTATGCAGTTGATTAACTATATTTTAATTTGAAGCTGTTCAATGTACACCAGAATTGTGGAGAGCTACTCATTTCTCGGCAATATGATTATGGAATGTACGACTTTTTAGCCATTTAGAAGTTATTCAACCAGTTCTTGCACTTCGCCTATTACTGTCAATTTTAAATTGTCCCCACCAATAACCCTTTTTCTAAAAAGTTTTACATGAATGTTAGAAAACTACATGCAGACTTTATTCCACTTATCATTATGTCAGTATGGAGGCTTTACGGTCTTTGCTTGTTATAAAAAATTCACTCCCATTGGTTGCTTGTATCTTCGAAGAGTGACTTTTTAGGATCAAGTTAGACATCATCACCATAAGTCTACTGAGCGTTTTCCAAACATAACAACTTAATTTTAACATTCATGCCTGCGCTTTCTGTTTCATTAATAGGTTTGGGCTGCTTTACTGGAAGTTTATCCCAATCGGGAATTTGAGTCATCCTACTTAAAGGCACTTTACGAAATCAGAAAGTTGGGTTTGGAGGTGTCACCTACGGATGAGTTCAATAATACTGAACAGAATAACGATAGTAATAAAAACAGCGACTTTAACTGTGATCTATTAGATGAAAAAGTACTTAATCAAATATCAGTTGATCTACCACGCTGTCATGCCTATGATCCCTTATTAGCCTCGCCAGTTGGACAGTCGGTTCTTCGTCGCGTTCTGATAGCCACTCTGCTGATGAAACCTGGTGCTTTGGATTATACTCAGGTAATAAAAGTTTTCTTTTTCGTTTCTCAGTCACATTTTTTGGTATCAGCTTCATTTTCCAACTTAGTTTATTCACAATAACTGAAAACGTTGAACCACCAAGTCTTTTAACCGTTCTCATATCTCGTAGGTGTTTAGGTCAGAAAAGAAATGAGGATAAATGAGTACTTTCTTTTAGCAGTCACACTTTACAGAGTATCATCAGCAACTTTCTACAGTATTATTAATCACTTGTAGTTCACAAACGAATTACCGAATTTCCAGTTATGCATTTACTCGTCTATTTAGAAAAAAATTGCAGAATAGTACACGAGTTAAAACTGCAAATTTAACGCACGGAAGGGTGAAAAAGTCAGCAAGGTGGGTTGAATATTAGAATAGAATGAGAAATAAAAGTGCGAAAATGGAGGTAAGTAAGCATGAGATCGAAAGATAGCTTAAATTTAGAACGAAATAAACAATAAATGTGTCTTCTCTACTATAATTTACTTTCATTTGCTTCATCAAAGGTTTCCAAACATTAAATGTATCTTGCCGACTATACCCACGTATTTTGGTGGAATAGTATTGCTTTAAATTTTTTCCAGGAATCTGAACCATAAATGGTAATTTGATTTCTCTTCATATAAGACAAATTTAGACTGACCAATGAAATCCAAAACATAGGATTTGCCTGAAATACGGTACCTGATTGTTGAAATAAAAGTAGCTGGTTGAGAAAGTGGCTCAGTGGTTTCATATAGAAAATCTATTGTCGGGAACGAAAAGAGGGAGACGAAGGAAGGAATGTTTATGATTGACCTCTTGTACAGTAGTCGTACTCTTGGCTGGATAAGGATTTGACAGCAGTTACATCTTTCCCTTGAATGACCGGCATTACCATGCTAATGTTACCTTCCCTACAGAAAGATGAGAAGGGGGTTAGGAAGGGTTAACCCTAGAAATATCACTGCCTACTACCTAGGGCATGCCAATGCCGGTGATCTGGGTTTATAGTCGTACTTGAATCTCAAAACCGGAAGAAGACCGTATGTGGTCGACTCCAAGCAGATGTCGCTTGGAACTGCAGCCATGCACTAACCCTTCTTTTATAAGTATCTCAAGAAGAAATAGCATTCCACAATGTAGCCGGTTGGGAAACGTCAACCGTCCTCCAAACACTGTCAGCATTCAAGTCCCTTCAGATCACTACCCACCTTCCACACCCTTACCTTCTAATCTTCCTACACATCTCTCAGTTGACAATCCCACATCATATTGAATTTCTTCCAACTCTGCACCTCTCTACAAAAATCTGAATTCACAAAACAGCACCCTTGGTTTCCTGAAACCGCGCTTCAAATTACACATTGGAACTCTCAATATCCTCACTCTCCGTCAAATTGGTCAACAAACTTTACTGGCCAAATCTCTAACAACTCGGGCCACGGATGTGTGCTGCGTTTGTGAGACACACATACAGCACCCAAGCGCGGTTATTCACTTAACCTTACCTGGTCAATACTGTGAATCCGCAAGATTCGCTCTTCGAGTTTCTAGAGACTTCGATGGGCAATTCTGGTGATCTTGCAGGTGTAGGTATAGCATCAAGCATTAATGCAGAAATCGTCTACTCGACTGGATCCTTGTTGAAAGTCACTTGTACGCTGTTTGATTGAACGGCACGGTGAGGGCTGAAAAGGGTAGTGAAACTCGCAGCTGTCGCTTTGTAATTTGTCGTGACATATCCATTGGCTGAAGTTCGGATGAGTTCTGCCGAAAGCTGCATACCCTTTTACTGAAAGCCAAGCGCTCAGATGTGGTAGTTGTTGCAAGTGATTTCAATGCATAGGTGGGTAAGCTAAGTCAGACACTTACGGAATCCCTGTCAGCTGGCCAAATAACGGTGATCGCCTACTGCAACTGTACTCAGATAACCATTAGTTTCTAGCCAGCACAAACTTTAGGCATGAAGAGACACATTGTCTGACGTGGCGATCCACGACCTCAACTCAGCAGTGAACAGAGACAAACCACACTGCTATCAGTCATAGCTGCAGAGGGTCAGCGGGTGACTGTTGCTCCTTCTAGAGCACGTATTTGGACAGAGACTACGCACCAGTTCGAGAGAGTATAAGTCTGAGGCTAAACGGATGTAGGTAAAGTTTAGCAACAAGAACATTGCGAAAGCAAATCGAAAATGACCTCACTAAGGCCGCTTTCAGTGGGAAACTGCCAAAACAGTTCTCAGAACAGAACAACATAAGTCACCTGGAGGAAGCCTGGTGCCATCTCCAGTCTGCTGTAAAGATAGTGTCGAAGACCGAACCTGACTCCCTCAGAGCCAGTGGATATCAGCCACGTTTTCTCAATTAATGGACAGACGCGAACGCATCCTTGCAGGCTCCGAGTCCAATGAGGAGCTAATGTGAATCAAACGCAGACTGACTAATGGGTGTACCCACCAGTCATTCACACTTCGCCAGATTCTGCAACACAGGCCCACCGACACTGGCTGTATTTCTCGACTTGAAGGCGACACAACTCCGCCCATCCAGAGGTCTTATGGCTGTGTAACTCACTGAAAGGGGTATCGAGTAAGCACATCATTCTGTTGAAGGCTCTTTGCTCGAACACCTGTAGAGGTTTTAGAGCCTATAGTAAGTTGTCAGGTGAGCTGCGTTCGTCGAGTGGTACCTATCAAGGATGCCCACTCTCTCCATTTCTGTTCAACTTTATCAAAGACGTCCCTATGGAGGTCTCCCTCTCGTCATCTGGCAACACAGGAATTGATGTGATCACAGAGACTCCTCGGAAGATCTATAATATACAGATGAAATTTTCCGGTTAGGTGAAGACGCTGGGTCTTCTGGATACATAGAGTGGCGAAATGAGAATGTTGAGGATGTATTACTCGCCACCCGAATGCAAAATGCTGCTTCAGAACTGGTCTTCAGCACTGCCTGGATAACAGTCAGATGTGAAGTGGTTGAGTGCATTGAACAATTCACTTACGTCGAAATTCAGATTAGTGGTCAACGAAATCTCTTCACGAATATAAAAAGCTCGTTTGGTTTTCACCAACTTATGACATTTATGGTGCCACCGCGATATCCAATTGTCCATTAGGAACTGAGTGTACTGTGCTGCAGTTCGGTGTGTTATACTTTATGGCTGTGAAATGTATCCATTAAAGGCAGAGGAACTGAGAAAGCTTCAGTTGTTCAACCACTTTTGCCATCGCGCTATAGGTTGAGTGTCATGGTGTCGCCATGTCAGTAACGCAGAAGTCTGGTGTAGAGATTTAGGGAACAACGGAAATTCAGTTGGTGGGGTTGTGAACCTTCATCGGCTGAGATGGCTAGGACATGTGTTGCACATGTGTCGTCACTGTCTGCTTCGTAGCTTCATGTTAGCCGAAGTAGGTTCAGGCTGCAAAAAGGCTTGGACTGGCTACTAGAAATCATGGCATCACACTGTTGATTTGAGCCGTGTAGAGAGATGAGAACTAGCCGGTTGGGGTTCGGTAGTTGGAGACTTTAGGTGACATGGATCAGAACCGTTGTCAATCGCGTAGATATATTAACGTTTAATCTTCATCTTAATTATTATTCTGAATTCAGCATTCTCTCGTTTCTCCTTCCTTTCTTTTACTGCTTCTGACAGATTTTTCTTTCTTTCTTCGTCTTACGACTTTTTTATTTTATGTTCTGATATGACGTCTGGCATCCATGACCGTTACGCAGTAATGCCTGGTGGTTCTATGTTGATACTGATTATGTGTAACGTTAGCTGAATTAGAACCGGATGACCAGATCAAGACGTGACACCGGTTGATGAAGTTTCTGACTGTTAATATGAACCGTGTAGGGAGGTTTAGACTGTCTGGTTGAGGTCGTCAATACGACAGGGACCAATGGTTGGAGAGCCTTGATGAAATGGCTGAAAACCCGTAATAACGGCGCAGATATATATTCACTCTTTGACGTTTAATAAAGTTTGGGCATCTTCATTAACCTTGATTTTCAAGTTGCTTTTCCACCCGTATATTTTTACCTACTCTGATTTCACTCTTTTCATGCCAATCTGTTCTTTCTTCGTTACTGTGAAGTGTGGCAACTTGAAGCGAGATCCTACGTTAATTTTGTCTGCCTGCCACTTAAGGTACGTGCAGGACTGTAACTCATTGTTGCAAGGAGATGGCATTCAACCACTGGGTCACGGGTTCGAACCCCACCCTATGTACCAGTGTTTTGGCAGGCAGGTAGGTAGTATTACTAGCCCACACACTAGGTGTAGCTCATTGCCTACTGCACGATTGCCCATAGGGTTGTTGAGTGCATTTCGTTTTTTTCAGTTCAATTTAGACTAAATGAAACCTTAATACTTGCTGCTGCGGCTTAAAAACATATCAAAGTCAATATTCATAGAATAAACTAATAGGGTGATTTTGAAATGCACTGAATATGTTGCCTTAAGAATACTAGATTATATTAAAACACCTTTCAATCTAATCATGCTAAAAAGTAAAACGGTAAACTCCAGTTGAATACAATGGTGCTAAATCAAAAATGAATCACAAAGGTATGCCTCATTTATTTTAGAGCTAATAGGCCGACAACATATGTAATTTAAGCACTTAGTGCCTATTATATAATTTGAATCCTAGAGTACATTCACTGGGACTGTGAGAAAGCATATGTCAATAGTCCTGCCTAGTTAATTTTCATCGCTTCAGAGATATCATTTTGCAATTGTAATGAATAAATGAAATCCACACAGCAGCCTTGTGCACATTCATGCGTCAGGCAATGAACAAAACCTATTGTGTGAGGGCTAATGATACTGCCTAGCTGCCCAAACCTCGGTACGTGGAGCGGGACTTAGATCCGTGATCCAATGGTTGAAAATCATCTCCCTAAATCAATGGGCCACAACAATAGTGATACTAGAGAACAAAAGGCGATCAGCTTGATACAAACATACACGCCGTATATGCAGCTGGGAAAAGGAACACTGAACCAGTGATCAAACAAAACTCTTGCTCACCACTCTAACATCACTGATTTAGTAAATACACTTGAGTATTGAACAACTTCATTAAACGTTAACTTAATGGATATTATAAGGCAGAATTATTGGCCAACTAATTGGAAATGCATATCTATGAATCGTACAATAGAGTAAAACTGTAACCTCAGAATGAAAACTGTGACTGAAATAACGTCACTGCGAACTGTTTATAAGATCACACCCGCACTGTGATAGCGGATTTCCAAAATAAATTGATCTGATGGCGAAAACAAACTCTTATGATGTAACAATAGTACAGAAGGTGAAAAATGATAAAAGTCTAGACCAATGAGAAATCGCATAATTCAGTACGATCCTGTAAATAATAACATGAATAAATCACTGCACTTCTGAAAACAGACGTGAGGTAACTGAAGGGACAACAAAAAACACTCTTTTTACAACCTTACAAAGCGAAGTAGGAAAATACTCCTTAATTGTAAACTTCACAACAATGTAAGTCCAATCAAAATGCAACTAAACGCGGTACAGATGTTCAATGCACTAGGGTTTGAATCCCATTTTTATTGTGTGAGCTTATAATATGAAATCATCACCCAGGTCAAAGCAATTAGGGACGCGTTTGAACCAGATTTATTGAACGGAAATCGAGCGTTTAGACCAAAAATGTGAGAAAATTTGGATGTCTGAATTTCAGCATAGACAGGAAGAAATAAAGAAAACCCTCGTTTACGGATGGATCGTTTCAAGTTGCCACACTTTACAGCAGTAAAAACAGAACAAGTTGATAGAGTAGACAAAAGTGTAAGGGAGGAAAGGAAACATGAAAATCAGGTTTGAAATAGCCTTATCAACTTCGAGGAGAGTTGGACGACCAACATCTACATTCCATCCAGGTTTAGATTGCATGCTCACCATCTTAAATATTGTTGCGTAACGTTTGAACGTTTATTAGAAATGTTTCACCCAGCAATCTATCGACCTGTCTCAAAAGTTGGTCAGAGTCCAATTCTTTCCTGTGATGGTCGTACTGATTGTCACTTTCTTCTTAAAAGTATCCTTAATAGACCAAAATAATAGTCGAGTATTGACTAACGTCAAAGCCTTCTCCATCTCTGCCGCAACACATCACTTCTCACGATCATTGCAAAGACTCTTGGTCAATTTACGTCTAGGCTGCTTTCGCTTCTCATTGTGGTCAGAGTTGGCAAGAACCAGTCCTCTCATATCACCTTGCGCAAATCCGTTTACGTCTGCCAACCACATAATGTAAGTAACCGACTGTCTTTACTGCTGTTTCTACAACCAACTGAATATCACACCATGTTCCCTCAGGATGAGGACTGCGGTCACATTCATGTAAATACTTAGCTATCTCCTCCCCAAATGCATACTTCATGTTCTCATCTACCAGTCAAGCGCGAACCAGTAAGGCTCAGATAAACACAAGCCATACTGACTCGTGAATTAAGTCCGAAAAGGTACTCTATAAGGACAGAAGTCCTCCAGTGATCGTCTACAATTTATCTGTGTCTATTGTTGGTTTGATGTTGGCGAACGCCGTATAAGATAGTATCTCTTTTAGGCTGGCCAAAAAAAGTGGTTATCACAAGATTGAGAGAGACGATAGTCACTACAGATTTGTGGTACTGTGGATACCTGGTGTGATACCCATGCTATTGGCTCAGCTCTGGTTTGTTAGTAGCCGCCGACATCTCTGCATCCATTCGAAATGTCTTGACTGGATTTCACCAACCTAGACTAACTGCACAGCCGCTGCGATATCTGGTTGTCTATTTGGAGGCGAGTGTACTGTACTGCAGTGCGTCCTGTTCTACTGTACGGCTGTGAAACTTTGTCATTAAAGGCAGAGGTTATGAGAAAGGTCTTGGTGTTTATCCACTGCTGTCTTCATAGCACATGTCGTGTATTGTGGTATGGATATTTTTGATGATGTCATCAAAAGCCGTATAAACTTACAAGAATAGGAGATAACCCAGTGTGATATGACGATTGGGATGCGAATGGATGGATCTGTGTGGAAAACAGATAATTTTTCAAGCATATTATCTGGTTTCCAATCGCTGACTCCCATTTCCAGGTGGTCCAACCAGAAAGTCTGCATTTCCCCATATGTCACCTACCAGCAGTCAGGAACTTCATGGACTGATGCTACATTCGAGTTTGCCTGTCTCTAAGCTTTTTCCATCTTGAACCTACTTCAGCCAATATTGTATGCCAGAGCAGATGGTGACTAGGATTTTGGAACATATGTCCCGATTATTTACAACAATGGAGGTCAACAACTGACTCACCATTTCTGCATAAAGCATGTCACTGACTCCTACGTTACTAACATGACTGATGCTTCACAGCGAACACCGGTTGAGTACCAGAAGCTTTTTCACATCATTCACACTCAATGGCTAGTACCAGTCGCCAGTAAGTATCTCTCTTTAATGACCGGACAGAAGTGTAAACAACTGGTAGATGCCGCGGCTAGAGTTTTTCGTTGTTCATTCTGATATGTAAGCTGGATCGTCACTTAGTTTTAGTGACTATCGATTGAAACAAGTTTGTATTGTTGACCAGCGAAGTAAGTTTCGTAGTTTTAGTTTTTGCTTGCTATGGATATTTTATCAGTATTTGTGTTTTATTACTGATTGTAAAGAGGTGGATTATTTTGAAATCATCATTCTTGATCATACACCTCACTGTTACCTATTTTTCTCCGTATATTTAACGAAGATAATTTTACCAAGTCATGTGATGAGATGTTTGCGATCTGATACTAGATAATTAGAAGATATTCCAAAACGATTATCTCCACTCTCATCCACATATCATTGTGTTATGACAAATATTTTTCTGTTGTTGTTTGGTTGTATTTTGATAAGCTCTTTCATTTGATTATTACTGTCGTTACTCCCAACATTATCTTTGAGTTTAGTATTTCTTTTATTTGAATCATATCTCTTCTAACCTTCTATATTTCAGGGTATGGATTCTATTGCTGCTGTTTTGTGCGTATTTGTTATCCCGATGAAGTTCTGGCTGCTGCCTGCCTAAACGCTTTTCTGTCAACCAAATTACCGGGATTTTTCTCTTCTGGGGGTCTAACGTTTGGTCTGAAATCGTATTTCAATACACTTTTGCGGCTTTTGGCATTTCATTTACCCCGATTAGCTGTTCGACTAGTTGATATCAATGTACCTTTAATTGGTCTGACTACCGGTTGGATTACACGCTATTTGCCCATGCTATGCCATTAGACCGTGTAGAATTGCTGTGGGACACAATCATGCCTGGTCCAGCCTCATTATCCATGTTTTTCTACATTGCATTTTTTGTTCAGTTAGACAGACAAATTAACTTTAAGGTAAATAATTCCTATTTTTGTTCGACTGTAGTCTGGGTAAGATATTATTTACTTAGTGATAACTATCTGGGGGATGCGGAATGCTCGTTTTGGGCTATTTCGAGGGTATGTACTACCTCAAGAGAAATCAACACTGAAGACACTGACATTGAAAGCCCTACTCAGGAAAATATAAGCCTAGAGAGCAACGAAATCTCATAAACATTCAACCTTGAAGCGTAGTCTTTTCAGCAATATATCACGGGGTGAAATTCTTTTTCTAGTAAGTACCGCTGTAACTAAAACAACGGAAAATCAGATGCAGCACTAATTATTACATTACATCGGTTCAACTGCCACAATTCTCAACAGTGCATAATAAAAACTCAACAGAAGTTGAAGAATAATGAGGCAAATCGAGGAAAAATGACACAAAATGAGAACAAATAAATGAAAAGTTAAAAGGTATTGGGAATCTTGAGAAACACAAAGTACGAGTACCTAACGTTACGCTTTGTGGTAAACAGTAGATCAGCGTACGTAATACATGTCCACCATATTAACACATGATTACATCATACAGGAGTAATGCTACAGAAATATTTGTGATCAAGAATCTTTATACTTTTCACCTTATTGGTCTTCAAAAGCTTTATCTTAGTTTTGAGTAGAAAAGGGTAGAGCTCTGTGTTGTATGCTCGCCTCTGACTGAATGGTGGATACCCGGTTGATATCTTGGAATGCACGTATTGCCACCTATTTTATTGTCAACAATAGTATAATAAAGAAAGCTCACTGTATATCGAAGTTTGAAGCATCTCCTCCATTTCATTGTAAGCTACCACTTAATATCTCGAAGATGTGATTTTCAGTCATATTGAGGCATCAGATGAGTAATATGAACCTTATTACATTCGATCCAGTGGTGATAAACCCTAGTGATGATTAGCTACCATGCATCTTTATTTTTCTGCTAACTAAACGGTTGTTCAGTAAAATTATTTTAGCAGCACATCTTTATACAGTTGAGCAAAGTGAGTCGGTTTAGTTGCATGACGTAAGCTGTGATTGGATTCGCTGGTTATCATAGAGCATTAACCTGACTGATAACTACTATGTTGACTTTGTGGTTAAGCTTGCTTATCACAATGAACCAACAAACTATGCTTGAGGAATGCGTATTCCCTTGTGGCCCTAACACACCAGATAGGTATGTTGAATAGTAAAAAGGTAAAACGTAGTTACGCATGAATCGCTATGCTTTGATGGAGGTCCGGTGGCTAATCCTTCTTGGCTAGACAAAAGTATGACATCGGTAAAGTGTTTCCCTTGAACGACCAGCATTATCATGCTGATGCTGCTTTCCCTGTGGGAATAAGGAGATAGAAAACATGATTCCTAAAGTAGCACACTCCTTTATACTATGTGGCGTTTCGGTGCCGTCAGTATTGTTTTTTTTTCTGTCCAGTGTTACTTCAATGAAATCTCAATCCTACGCTCTTGTGGAAGTTACGTGTGACGAGTCTCAAGCAGATAGACTGTTTGATTGTGTGAAACCAATCTCTCTTCTACTACATTTTTTTCCTTCCGTGACTTCACCTCCTCATACCCACATGAGCCATTTTACAACTCGGTCAACTGACCATGCAACCCTTGTTAAACTATCTGAGAAAGCAAAACACAATTTCTAGCTCTCTAAAACCCCACTGTCAGCTTCACATTGGAGCTTTCTACGTCTGAACCCTATTTCAAATCGCAAAACAAGCCTTACTTTCCAAAACTGCAACCTAGAGTTATAGATATGTACTCTCTTTTTGAGACACGTATACAAAGCTTAAATGTTGTTATTCACTTGACCTCACCTGACCAATGAGAAAAACCCACGAAAGTTACTTTAGTAGTCTCCGGAGATTGAGTGGCTAGTCCGTATGGGTGTAAATGTAGCATTTAAATCTCTATCAAAAAGCTCACTTCTCGACTAGATTCCAATCAACAGCCGTTGTTTGCTTTCCAATTGAATGGGATCCGTAAAAACTAGGAGGGGTTGTGTTTCTAACCGATGCTTACTCCAAGTCTCCCCCCAACTTGCCCACTGACTGCAGTTAAGATGATGGAAAGGATTAATTCTGTCAGAAGCCGTTAACTTTGCTACGGAAAGCAAAGCCTGCAGATAAATGCATAGAAGCAAACGACTTTACCACTCCGTTAAGTAAGCTGAGCCAGTCTTAAAGGCCTCAGACCAGGTATTCACAGTACCACAAATCTGTAGTGACTATCGTCTCTCTCAATCTTGTGATAACCACTTTTTTTGGCCAGCCTAAAAGAGATACTATCTTATACGGCGTTCGCCAACATCAAACCAACAATAGACACAGATAAATTGTAGACGATCACTGGAGGACTTCTGTCCTTATAGAGTACCTTTTCGGACTTAATTCACGAGTCAGTATGGGCTTGTGTTTATCTGAGCCTTACTGGTTCGCGCTTGACTGGTAGATGAGAACATGAAGTATGCATTTGGGGAGGAGATAGCTAAGTATTTACATGAATGTGACCGCAGTCCTCATCCTGAGGGAACATGGTGTGATATTCAGTTGGTTGTAGAAACAGCAGTAAAGACAGTCGGTTACTTACATTATGTGGTTGGCAGACGTAAACGGATTTGCGCAAGGTGATATGAGAGGACTGGTTCTTGCCAACTCTGACCACAATGAGAAGCGAAAGCAGCCTAGACGTAAATTGACCAAGAGTCTTTGCAATGATCGTGAGAAGTGATGTGTTGCGGCAGAGATGGAGAAGGCTTTGACGTTAGTCAATACTCGACTATTATTTTGGTCTATTAAGGATACTTTTAAGAAGAAAGTGACAATCAGTACGACCATCACAGGAAAGAATTGGACTCTGACCAACTTTTGAGACAGGTCGATAGATTGCTGGGTGAAACATTTCTAATAAACGTTCAAACGTTACGCAACAATATTTAAGATGGTGAGCATGCAATCTAAACCTGGATGGAATGTAGATGTTGGTCGTCCAACTCTCCTCGAAGTTGATAAGGCTATTTCAAACCTGATTTTCATGTTTCCTTTCCTCCCTTACACTTTTGTCTACTCTATCAACTTGTTCTGTTTTTACTGCTGTAAAGTGTGGCAACTTGAAACGATCCATCCGTAAACGAGGGTTTTCTTTATTTCTTCCTGTCTATGCTGAAATTCAGACATCCAAATTTTCTCACATTTTTGGTCTAAACGCTCGATTTCCGTTCAATAAATCTGGTTCAAACGCGTCCCTAATTGCTTTGACCTGGGTGATGATTTCATATTATAAGCTCACACAATAAAAATGGGATTCAAACCCTAGTGCATTGAACATCTGTACCGCGTTTAGTTGCATTTTGATTGGACTTACATTGTTGTGAAGTTTACAATTAAGGAGTATTTTCCTACTTCGCTTTGTAAGGTTGTAAAAAGAGTGTTTTTTGTTGTCCCTTCAGTTACCTCACGTCTGTTTTCAGAAGTGCAGTGATTTATTCATGTTATTATTTACAGGATCGTACTGAATTATGCGATTTCTCATTGGTCTAGACTTTTATCATTTTTCACCTTCTGTACTATTGTTACATCATAAGAGTTTGTTTTCGCCATCAGATCAATTTATTTTGGAAATCCGCTATCACAGTGCGGGTGTGATCTTATAAACAGTTCGCAGTGACGTTATTTCAGTCACAGTTTTCATTCTGAGGTTACAGTTTTACTCTATTGTACGATTCATAGATATGCATTTCCAATTAGTTGGCCAATAATTCTGCCTTATAATATCCATTAAGTTAACGTTTAATGAAGTTGTTCAATACTCAAGTGTATTTACTAAATCAGTGATGTTAGAGTGGTGAGCAAGAGTTTTGTTTGATCACTGGTTCAGTGTTCCTTTTCCCAGCTGCATATACGGCGTGTATGTTTGTATCAAGCTGATCGCCTTTTGTTCTCTAGTATCACTATTGTTGTGGCCCATTGATTTAGGGAGATGATTTTCAACCATTGGATCACGGATCTAAGTCCCGCTCCACGTACCGAGGTTTGGGCAGCTAGGCAGTATCATTAGCCCTCACACAATAGGTTTTGTTCATTGCCTGACGCATGAATGTGCACAAGGCTGCTGTGTGGATTTCATTTATTCATTACAATTGCAAAATGATATCTCTGAAGCGATGAAAATTAACTAGGCAGGACTATTGACATATGCTTTCTCACAGTCCCAGTGAATGTACTCTAGGATTCAAATTATATAATAGGCACTAAGTGCTTAAATTACATATGTTGTCGGCCTATTAGCTCTAAAATAAATGAGGCATACCTTTGTGATTCATTTTTGATTTAGCACCATTGTATTCAACTGGAGTTTACCGTTTTACTTTTTAGCATGATTAGATTGAAAGGTGTTTTAATATAATCTAGTATTCTTAAGGCAACATATTCAGTGCATTTCAAAATCACCCTATTAGTTTATTCTATGAATATTGACTTTGATATGTTTTTAAGCCGCAGCAGCAAGTATTAAGGTTTCATTTAGTCTAAATTGAACTGAAAAAACGAAATGCACTCAACAACCCTATGGGCAATCGTGCAGTAGGCAATGAGCTACACCTAGTGTGTGGGCTAGTAATACTACCTACCTGCCTGCCAAAACACTGGTACATAGGGTGGGGTTCGAACCCGTGACCCAGTGGTTGAATGCCATCTCCTTGCAACAATGAGTTACAGTCCTGCACGTACCTTAAGTGGCAGGCAGACAAAATTAACGTAGGATCTCGCTTCAAGTTGCCACACTTCACAGTAACGAAGAAAGAACAGATTGGCATGAAAAGAGTGAAATCAGAGTAGGTAAAAATATACGGGTGGAAAAGCAACTTGAAAATCAAGGTTAATGAAGATGCCCAAACTTTATTAAACGTCAAAGAGTGAATATATATCTGCGCCGTTATTACGGGTTTTCAGCCATTTCATCAAGGCTCTCCAACCATT